TTTTCATCATCACATATCATCTACATGTTTACCCTTATATTTAATAATACTTCAAAATAATAATGACAAATTAAGGGTTATTTTTTTTAAGCTCAATAAAAAAAAATGTAGATTTTATGATTGTGTTAGGGAAAATAAAATTAGATTCTTTAAATTAAAAAATTTAAAAAAAAACTAGTGCACAAAATAAAAGTTTTGAGAATTGGCTCAAATAATCAACAAATTGAAAGTATAGAAGAGCTAATAAGTCTCATATGACCCACATGACCATGATATATTTAGTCGGCAAAAATATGTAGGTATGTCATCATCAGCTCATTAGTGATTAATTATAGGCTTAATTATCGATGTGCCTCCTATGCTTTATCGAAAATATCACTTTACTCCTTACATTTCAAACTGCTTTAATATGACTCATGTGCTTTATTTCCGTGTCCCTCATTCCCTATTCTATCAATTTGGTTAGTAAAACCGTTAACTTATTGATGTGGCATAGGAATTTTAGTAATTTTAGATATAAAAATTCTCAAAATCTAAAGTAAATATAAAAAACAATTTTAAAATATTTTAATAATAAATAAGATTAGAAAGATATAAATAAAAAATAAGAAAACCCAACACCCGAATAGCCACCACACCTCCTACCACAACCCAACCCTTCCCCATCACCAACTATCGTCCCCAACCCATGGCTGGGGGGTGAAGGTGGCTAGGTGGTGGGTATCACCCGGGTAGGGAGATCATGTTTGAACCATGGCGGAGTGTTGGCCATGGGTGGCTCGGTGGATTGGATTTGGTTATGGTGGGAGGTGTGGTGGTGGGGCTAGCTATTCGGGTGCTGGGGTTTTTCAAAAAAAAAAAAAATCTATCTTATTATTTAAATATTATTAAATTGTTTTTTATATTTAAATTAGATTTTGAAATTTTTTAGTAGCTAAAATTACTAAAATACCTATGCCACATCAACAAGTTAACAGTTTTACTAACCAAATTGACGGAATGGAGGGAACGGGGGACACGGAAATAAAGCACATGGTGCATGTTGACCCAATTTAAAATGTAGGGGGTAAAGTGAAATTTTCAGTAAAGCACAAAGGGCACATTGATAATTAAACCTTAATTATATGCTCAATAGGAATATTTCTTGTTGTGATATGTGGCGTCCAAATACTTTATAGATATGTTTACTAATTCGTAATCGGGTTAGGAGGAATTGATAATTGAGGAGGAGTTGGAATCCGGATTCCCATTAAAGTTGTTAACTAAACTATGTGGAATCGGGGTAGAAATGGTATTAATTCCTTATAATAAGTTGTTTACTAAATTTTTGTGAATCGGAATTGAAACTAGTTTGAGTACTAAAATGCAGCTGTTCTAAATAAATTATTGGGTTAAAGTGGATGGTAAATTTGAAATTTTAAAATTTGTGTGAGGATATAATGAGTAAAAAAGATGGATTCCTAATGGGCCAGTTCTCCAAGAAATTAGAACATCATACCACCTCTCACCCAAGAGTTCAATTCCTCAAAAAGCAGGAGTTGAATTCCTGATTTTGTGTGGGCCTCGCTTGTTTTTTTATTCTTTTATATGAAGTAAACACATGAGTAATTATTAGGTTAAACTTTGTTAGTTTATCTTTTTTGGTTTTCTTTGACAACTTTGTAATTGCACATGTCTGTCATCAAGCTCAAGATTAATTTTACTAGGTTAGTCTAGTTTGTAGATGATTATTGTGGCTCAATACAGGGTGAGGTCGAGAAGGCCCTACCACATTAATTTCTTGAACCCAACTCATGTTAGGGATGTGCATTTACAGGACCATTTTTATGGCGTAACACATCACATTATATTAATTTCTTTTTATATAATATAAAAAAATTCTATTAAATTGAAGGCTAACATTATACCTAGGAAAATTAGTTTAGAAAAAGGTTTAAATTTATAGTGTACAAAATGATAAAAATACTGCCAAAATAGCTACCAAAATTTAACAATGCACGCTCACGTCTGCATAATTAAAATTCCTCTCACATCAACTCACTACAAGAAAAAAAAAACGCAAAAGTCACCATCTCCAAGTCACCAAATTGGTTTTGGTGACCTTTGGGTAGTTAGTCATGAATTTTCTTGTTACTATCATTATGCGTGTCTAGTCTTCTCACATACTGGTAAATTAGCGACATTTAATTTTAATAATAAAAAATATAGAACCAATTCATTGGAGTTGACACCTAAATAGTAAACCTTGAGGTACCCTATCCTTTAATTAATAATTTACAGCACTTTTCTTTTAAAAAATATTCAACATATTAATAGAGCTGATATGATATTGAAAATTTTCTATTTTATAAGGGGATATTATAATGAGCTCTTCTTTCAATGTACTCATTCATCATTTTGGGTTTTCTTAAAGGGGAATGCTAGTAACCTTCTCTCTAACCTTCTCCTTTGGACCTTCTTCATTTTTTGCTTGACATGTGTCATTCTCTTTACACTTAAAACAATGTCATTAATATATTATACAAGCTAACTTTTGATTTCCAAATTTACCCTTATTAAATGTATTCAATTTATCCAAAAAAAATTCACAACTTTCTTACACCTCATTAATTTTTTTTACGTCAATTATTTTTTATTTAAAGAAAATGTCTACTTTTAAAAATAATTTAATTTAATTTTTTAAAAAAAGAGAAAATGTCCATTTTTTTTAACACAAGGGGTTTAGATAGAAAAAAAAGTTCTAAATTTGACGTTAAAAAAAGAGGGACATCCTCTTTTTTAAAAAAGCATACATTTTCTTTATATAAAAAAATAATTGAAGTTAAAAAAAAATTAATAAGATTATAAGAAAGTTGTGAAATTTTTTGGGATAAATTGAATACATTTAATAAGGGTAAACTTGGAAAGCAAAAGTTAGCTTGTATAATATCTTAATTACATTGTTTTAAGTGTAAGGAGAATGACACATGTCAAGCAAAAAATGGAGAAGGTCCAAAGGAGAAGGTTAGATAGAAGGTTGCTAGCATTCCCCTTTGTTAAAAATGTATAAATCTATTTTTTTAGGTGTTCTTAAAATGTTGGGCTCAATATACCGTTTCATTTTGAAGTAGGCAATATTGCATTGTTGGGAGAGTAGGTATATTTTGCCTACTTATTTGTCTCTTCCATTAGAGATACTCTTAGACACCGAAAAACATGACTATTAGTATCATTAGTCGCCAATATAGTCACCCAAAAAATGTGACCACTACTCACTTTTTTTTGTAGTGACTGTGGTCACATTTGTAATATATATTCTAGGGTTAATGACAGTTTTGTACCTTCTGGTTGCACTCGTAAGGCATGTTAGTCCATGTTCTCTCGATTTTTGCAATTAGATACCCCGGTCTTCTAAATTTATTACAGTATGGTTCAACCGTCATATTTTTTGTTAGTTACCTACGTGGCACTTATAGATCCCACATTTTTCATTTACTTTTTATTTAGGCGTAATAAAATATTTATAGATATTTAAAAATCAATTAAAAACATAAGAAATTAATTTTTTTTTTAAAAACCTATCATCCCAACCCTCTTCCCCAATTTCTTCTCTCTCTCTCCTTTTGTATTTTCTTCTCCCCAATAATCCAGACCACCCTCAGCATCAGTGGCAACCCAGGCCCCACCCACACCCCACTCCCACCCCTAGCCCCCAACAACCGCAACCCTCCGCACAGCCGCCCTGGCCTCTTGTTCTGTCGAACCTCCAGCATCTACAACCCACCATCTTCATCTCGCTGAATTCAGAAGCCATCAAATTGGGTTGCAGACCTTCGAGTACAAAAATTGTGAATTTTTGTTATTCAATTTGTTGGCTTTTTGAAGTTACAGAGAGAGGGATAGGTTGGGTTGTGGTTGGGGTGAGAGTGGGGCCCGGGGGTAGGCCTTGGTTGCCACTGAGGCTGGGGGTGGGCTTTGGTTGCCACTGAGAAGAAAATACATAGGGAGAGAGAGAGAGAGAAGAAATCTGGTTGGATTCTGCCGGTAGGGGTAGTGGTCTTGGGGGAATGGGGGAGAAGAAATCGGTGAAGAGGGGTGGCTTGGTGATGATGGGTTTTTATTTTATTTTATTTAAAATTCTTATTTTTTAAATTGATTTTTAAATATTTTGTTATATATAATTTTAAAATAAATAAAAATATGGGACTCATAAGTGCCACATAGGCAACTAATAAAAACCCTAACGGTGGAATCTCATTGTAACAAATTTAAAAAACTGGGGCATCTAATTGCAAAAATTAAGAGGACATGGACTAACATGCCTTACGAGTACAACCACAGGATACTAAACTGTCACATATTTGTTGTTTGCTATATAAGCATTAAGTGCTTTTACTAGAAGTACATAAGAAAGTGCTTTTATAACACATAAACACTTTAATTATTTCTATCTAACGACATTGAAAATACTTTTAATTATAAAAAATTATTTTTGACATTTCTAAAAGCATTGTCAAACATATTTGATTTTTTTTTTTTTTTAAAGTCATCTTACAATAGTAAGATGTTTTTAAATGCTATTACCTTTCTACAACACTAGTAACTACCATTGTATTGGTATTCATGTGTACAAGCAAGGGCGGACGCACAAAGGAAAAAATGGGATTAGGTGACCCCATGGCATTCGAAAAAAATGATGGTGAAGGTCTCAAGCGGCCACAAGGCTGGCTGGTGTGCGACCCTAAGGCGCACACCACCTGTTCGATGAAATGTGCAAAAGAGCCTGCATGTTGTTGCCTTGTGCAGCGTGCGCGAGGTCAAATTTTTTATAAAAAACGCCAGGCTAAAACAACACCGTTTTGGTCCATACGAGTTTTTTTTTTATATAAAATTTTTTTAAAAAAAAACCTGACTTCAAAACGACGTCATTTTGAGCCAAATTATAAAAATAAAATAAAAACACAGCAACCTTACATCTTACCGATTATAGCAGCCTCCAAATGCCCAAAACCCAAATTATTTTAAATTTCCCTCTCCTCTCTCAAAACCCTAACTAATCCTTGGATCTTCACCACCACCATCAACCACTCCATGACGTCGCCGGCCACCTCTTGCCCTCCGCCACAGCCGCCACCACCACCACCAACCAAGTGAGTTATAATTCTTTACTTTACATATATTATTTTGGGCTTTGGATTTATCATTTTAATGAAATTGATATAATTTTAGAATTTATTGGTATGATATTGATTGATTTACTTATTTCTTATTTGGATTAGAATTTTTATTGATTGATATGTGGTATTTTTTATGAATTAGAATTTATTGATATGATTTTGATATTGATTGATTTTGTTATTTGAATAATTGAATTAGAGTTTTATATTGATTGATATTATTATTTAGATTAGATTAGAGTATACAGTACACTTTATAAATTATAATTGATTGAATTAATTAATTAATGTGTAGAATTATCATGGAACGATACTTTAAGAGAAAAGTATCTATGGATAGTTCACCTAATCCGTGTAGTTTAAGTGCAAGAGAAGCTATGAATTAGAGGTTTAATATTCATTATGGATCGGTTGGTAGTGTTCACAACCAAACTAGAGACGGTGCTTACAATCTGACGAATCAAAAAGCACACATTGAAACAATTGTGATCAAGCAAACAAATGAAGCTCGTACTACTTATCGCACTTGCTTAAATGCATCACTCAAGTGCGTAAAGTATTTACTTGTATTGATAACGAAGCTATAATGCAACGTTTTCAAAAGATAAAAACTTGTCGTGGACAATTATAGATTGTTTTGTTAGTTTTGTCATGAATTATGAAAGAAAGTACTATCTTTCTTTTCTTTTCTTTTTTTTGTTATTTTCTTTGTAAAAAAATTTCGAGACTTTTATACTATGATCCTATGAGATCATAATCCTACGTCCGCCACTGTGTTCAAGAGTGTGATATTGAGTCTAAACACGTAGTTTGTATTTTATTGTAAGAGATATTTAGTTGGAATATAATAGATGACAGTTGTTGAATAAAAATACAAGTAACACAAAATGCTTGAATTAGGGTTGTGGGTAGGTTCTAACACATCATGTCGAACTTATTGTTGTACAACGTTCATTATAATAAATGAAAAAGGTCATTTCATTGGTGATTTGTTAATGGTTGAATTGAGCATAAGATTATAGGTGGCGTTTCATCATAAGGTCCAAACCCTATTTTTTCCTCAGCCCATCAATTTATTTGCCTCCACCTCTCCCAGACAAACCATAGTCCGAAAAAAACAAAAACAAAAACAATTTATTTGTATTTATTGGTTGCCGTTTTAGGTTAGGACCATTTGCCACATCGCTATATAATAATTAAAACATATCTGCCAAGTTCTCAGCCGACGATAACTCAACAGTCCAAGGAAAGGGATTTGCTATAAGTTCTCAACACAACAACGATTTACATGTGGATATGTTGCTTTTGCTTTTCAAAAAAGCCCGTCCAATAAATTCGAATTTAAGGGCTGTGGTCTCTACAATCATAATGTTATACCTACAAATTTTTCATAGAGAATGTAGTGGAGATGCCAAAAAAATATACGCTTTGTGATTAACTTTCGGTGATGAGACGAGTGAGAAGGGTTTAAATTAGTTTTATTAATTATGAGAACGACCTTGTGTTAAAAAACCATGTGTATAAAATTATATTATATTATATTTAAAATTTGAGAACAAGAAATGAAATAATCAGATGTTATCTACTTTTGTGATATAACAAATAAATATTAATGGGTTATTTATTCAAATGGTTCTCAAACTTATACCAGAGTTGTATTTTGGTCATTCAACTAAATTATTCGCTCAAAGGGTCCATCAACTCTTTATTATTCGATAAATTGTTCCCACCATCTAATTTTATGTTAAATTTAACCAAAATTTAGGGTAAATATGACTTTTCATAATTAAAAAAAAAGGTTAAAATTAATACAAAATTATAAAATAAAAAAATTGAAGAACAAGAGGAAAAAAATCATCATACCCAAACCAACCCCCTCCCCCCGATTTCTTCTCCCACAGACTCCTTCCCCATTATGTTTCACCCTACCCTTTTGTTTCTCTCTCTCCCATTTGCACCCCCTGACAATTAGGGATGGCAATTTTCTCAGTGGGTAAGGGTCTTCGCGGGGATTTACCCTAATTGGTTGGGTATGAAGGAAAAACGGGTATGGGGATGGGTACGAGGAATTTTTTGGGTATGGTGTTCGGGGAGGGGAGAAGATGATATTTTAATCCCCGACCCGAACCCTCCTCATTTAGAATATATATATATATGATATTAAAGTGATTGTGCTGACTAAATTTTATATTTTCTATTATTATATTATATGTTTATATAATTTAAACGAATCTTAAGCCACACTACTTACATATTTAGTTGAGTTCTAGTCAATTTGTAAACATTCTTATATTGTCTTATACGTATATATTATATATATATTCATTATCTTGTATGAATCCTATTTTTTCTTTCAACAAAGTAGTTTTATATTGATTTTTTCTTCCGTAATGAGGCGGGTAGGGGAACTCATTCCTCAACGAAGGTGACGATGGGGAATCCCCGATATGAATATTGCGGGTATGAAGGCAGGGATGAGGGGAAAAAACTGAACGGGATAGGGATGAAAATGACATACCCACCCCCGATTCGACCTATTGTCATACCTACTGGCAACAGATCCCTTTCCCCCTCCTTATAGAAGTACACATACTTTGTATGTGGGAATTATGTGCATACTTCCGTATATAACATTCGAGCAAGCATGCTTCTTTCGCTACATGGTTTGAACTCAAGCTCTGTTTTTGTCTAGTAGTTACTGGGCTGGCTGGCTACCAACTTAACTCTTTGTACATAGAAATGTTTAAAGGACGTTAGCGAGCCAGACAAGAAAAGAAAAGTTCACATGCCCGTTGAGAATTCACCAGACAAGAAAAGTTCAACACTTTATTTATTACGTTACACCAACTTAACACTTTATTTAAGTTTTTTTGGTCAAATAACACTTTATTTAAGTTAGACTAGGCTTTTAGCCACTCTCTCTCTTTTAATTGTTTCAAGGACGTTAGCGAGCGAGAAAATTCTCCTCCCCTTCAGAAGAGGAGGCCCAAAGCTACATTACAAAACCCTACTACCTTTTCCTTTTTGGCTTCTTTTTTTTTCCTCATGTCATCACTCAAAATGGAATTACAATACTGTATGTATATGTATAAGCCAAGAGCCATGCACCTGTGACGTGATTAAAATACCGTATGTATATGTATCGTTTTGTTTCATACCACAAGCCACCCTGCACATACACAGAGAGAGAGAGAGAGAGAGAGAGAGAGAGAGAGTGATTAAAATACTGTTACGTCCCGGAGGAAGATTTTGCATTAATGTCACACACCTCGAAAGAGGCACAAGTAATAAAGACAATCTGAAGTAGGATTGAATTGTCAAAACTGGCAGAAGTGATTTTGGAACTTGGCTTGGCTTCATTGATTTCTTGGGATTGGAACTGATCTTTCATATACGAAAGCAATCTGACATCTTTTTTTTCTGGTCTGCAAGACGTGCAACACCGAATGTGCACAAATAATTAATACATTGTCTTCCAATAAAATACTTTCCTTTGTGAAATGTAAAACACTTTCCATTCATCGGACGGGGAAAACTTCGGTGCAGTCTAGTTAAAAGTGGGGTTATGGAATGATTAGGTGGTGCTTTTTGTCATGTTTCGGAGGAAGATTAAAGGTGGTCTTTCTTCTTTTGTCGTCGTTTTTTAGTTTTTAGTTTTATTCTCGTTTGTTCAACATAGTTGAGTTTGCTAGATGTAAGTAGTCTCTTTAGAAAAGTCTTTCTAGTTAGTAGCTGGTTTTGTCATAAATGTAATTGGATTTTATTATACAGGATAAGGATAGCTTTGATTTGTAATTTGGTTCAACCGAATTCTAGCAAAGATGGAGAAATTAGCATCTAGTTCCGACACAATTATGGCGGTACATATCTATACAATGTACCAGAAGATGAATATAAAGACGTGTGTCAGTTAAGTAGTTGTTGAAATGAACTTGATTAGACGATTCAATTCAAACTGTGCTTCTGAACTTTCAGTGTTCAAACATGGCTGCATGAGACATGCCAATTACTTAAAGTGACTGGCACGATCTGCCCAGCCCAACCAAACCAGTGAATATTGAAAGTGAAAGTGAAAGCTGCCCTCTCAACTACTTGCTTTCCAGCCGTTTTGACTCAAATTACTTAATGAAGACGAGGACCTGGATCACTTGCATTGAGTTTGAGACTATTGTTCAACAGAGTTTCAGAGAAATACCTGCAAATCATTTCATTATATAGATTGGAAAAGTATCTTTTTCTTTTTGAGTATCTTGAATAACCTCATTGATGAATGTTTAGAACTCAACAGTCCAAGTAAAGGCCCCTTGCTATAATGGGACGACAATGATTTTGCATGATGATTTACTTTTAAAAAAAGCCCTTCCAATAAATTCAAATTTAAGGGCTGTGGCCTCTACGATCATAATGTTACACCAACAAATTTTCATAGCGAATGTAGTGGAGATGCCAAAAAAATCCACACTTTGAGATTAACTTTCGGTGATGAGATGAGTGAGAAGGGTTAAAATTAGTTTTATTAATTATGAGAATGACCTTGTGTTATAAAACAATTTGTATAAAATAATATCTTTTTTTAATTATAAAATTTGAGAACAAGAAATGAAATAATCAGATGTTATCTACTTTTGTGATATATAAAATTAATATTAATGAGTTATTTATTCAAATGGTCCTCAAACTTATACCAAAGTTGCATTTTGGTCCCTTCACTAAATTATTCGCTCAAATAGTCCATCAACTCTTTATTATTGAGCAAATTGTTCCCATCGTCTAATTTTCTGTTAAATTTAACCAAATTTTAGGGTAAATAAGACTTTTCATAATTAAAAAAAATAAAAATATGGTTAAAATTAATACAAAATTAGAAAAAAAAAATTGAGGAATAAGAGAAAAAAAATCCTCATACCCAAACCTAGCGTCCCCTCCCCCCGATTTCTTCTACCCCATTCCCCCACAGACTCCTCCCTCTTCTAGTTTCCCCCATCTCTTTCTCTCTCTCCCATTCGCACCTCCTAGCAATTAGGGATGGCAAATTTCCCCGTGGGTAAAGATCTTCGCGGGGATTCGACCCTAATGGGTCGGGTATGAAGGATAAAAAAAGGGTATGGGGAATTTTTTGAGTATGGTGTTTGGGGAGGGGAGTGGATGGTATTTTAATTCCCGACCTGAACCCTCCCAGTTTAGAATATATATTATAGTATATATAAATTTGATATTAAAGTGATTGTGCCGACTAAATTATATATTTCCTATTATTATATTATATGTTTATATAATTATATGAATCTTAAGCCACGCTACTTATATATGTAGTTAAGTTCTAGTCAATATGTAAACATTCTTATATTGTCTTATACGTATATTATATATATTCATTATCTTGCCCCAATCCTATTTTTTTTTTCTTTCAACAAAGTAGTTTTATATTGATTTTTTCTTTCGTATTGTTGTACTCAAAGTGCACAGAAATCTGACTCACTAACCATATATGTTTGTCCCACTAAAACCAACTATATGTATATGTATCGTTTGTTCCATACCACAACCCACCCTGCACCTGCACAGAGAGAGAGAGAGAGAGAGAGAGAGAGATTAAAAGCTTTTTATTTCATTTTTCAGTATTGATTTATTTTTAACATATGAAATGATCAATTTGCCCTCACGTTTAACAGTAATATTGACAGAATGTAACGGTGGACCAATTTGCCGAATAATAGAGAGTTGGTGGACCATTTGAGTGAGTAATTTAATTGAGGGACCAAAATGCAACTCTGGTATAAGTTTGAGGAATATTTGAGTAAATAACCCTAATATTAATATGTATGGAATAACATCAATTATATTTAGTACAAAAAATAGTCTAAATTATAGGATAGGAGTTTTTCACACACACATATAACCAAGATGCCAAAATATCAAGATTCTTTTTCACCAAGTTAGACTCCATTGGCTAATTTTATGTTTTATATTTTGAGGACACGAAATGAAATAATCATATGTCCCTTACTTTTGTGAATTTATTTAACCTCTTACAATGAATTTCCACACCTTATAAATGGCAGAATACATTTTGGAACTTGGGCTGGCTTCATTGATTTCTTGGGAGTGATCTTTCATAGATGCAAGTAATGCAACGTTTAATTTATGGTCGGGAAGAAATGCAACACCATAAATAATTAATACATCGTCTTCCAATAAAATACTTTCCATATCACAGGGGGAAAAACTTCGATGGCAGTGCAGTTAGTTAAGAGTGGGTCACGGAGTGATTAGGATAGGAGACACTTTCTATTAGTTATATACATATTATTTATAATAAGCATTAATCTCATATATACACCTCGAAAAGAAGTACAAGTAAAGACCATCTGAGGTAGATTGAATTGTCAAAAATGGCAGAAGTGATTTTGGAACTTGGCCTGGCTTCATTGATTTCTTGGGATTGAATATGATCTTTCATATATGTAAGCAATGCGACATCTTTTTTTTTTAGGTCTGCAAGACATGCAACACCGAATATGCACAAATAATTAATACATCGTCTTACAATAAAATACTTTACTTTGTGAAATATAAAACACTTTCCATTCATTGGGAAAAGCTTTGGTGCAGTCTAATTAAAAGTGGGGTTATTGAGTGATTAAGTGGCGCTTTTTGTCATGTTTCAGAGAAAGATTAGTGACAGCTGCTCTTCTTTTGTCTTCGTTTTTTAGTTTTGTTATAATTTGTTCAATATAATTCAGAAATTCTTTGAGTTGTAAGTGTTGAGTTTGCTAGGTGTAAGTAGTCTCTTTAAGAGAATCTTGCTTGTTAGTAGTTGCAATTAATTTGGTTAATTTAACTCGCTCGTCTTGTCTTCCATTAAAAAAGTGAACAAGAAACAATATATATCTATATAGTGTACGAGAAGATGAGTATAATTTATAGTGCCCTCTCAACTACTTGCTTTCCAGCCGTTTTTTGAATGTTTAAAATTTTGATTGGCTGAACTTTTAAGGGAAATTTTTGAAAATATCAGCTCAACTTAATACACTATAGTTTCATTTTGTCGCCTTAAAGAAAAATTTAGGAGATATGCAAACTGGTGGTTGGCTTTATTTTTTTTGTTTTTCTCAAATTTACGTTTACTTTTTACTAAGCGAGGCATTAATTTTTAAACATTTTTTTTTTTCACTCCTTGTTGAAACTGTTGATAAATAAAATTTGCTATTGTCATTTATCGTTTTGGTTAGCCTAATGTTTTTCTTTGAATAGCCACTTTCAATTAAACTAACTACTTAATTGATTCCTATAAATGAAACTTTGGATTCTCATCCTAGATCTCCTATGTTGAGACCACAAATTGTATTTAAATGGAATTTAAAATTTTGGTTGGTTGTTGCTTGAGGACCATTGTCCAACAATGGACCACCTCCCTAATTTCCACCTTCAAATTGGCATTTCCTAATCTCCCTGTTTGCAAGTGAAGACCAATAAACTTCCCTCCTTCGGTTCTGTTTTTATCTTGTGAATTCTTTCCGAACTTAAAGAACAGAAATTAACTAGGTACAAAATAAATTAAAAGAAGAAAAGAAACACACAAATGAAGGATGGCCCAAGAGGACTACACTGGGCCAGCCCGTCAAGGCCTAACCAGTTCATGCCGGGCCTGCGCGACACACCTGAACGGCGTCGTTCCTCATTTTGGCGGGTAAAAGAAATCAAGCGCGCCATTAAAAGCTCTGGGAACTGAAGTCTCTGAGTTCAGCTTCCTCACTCATTACGCTTCGAAACCCTAGCGAGGCAGGCAGAGAACCATAACACGTCGTCGTTTTCCCTGCCAAAATCTGGGTCTATCGTCTGCCCTTTTTCTAGCATGTAAGTCTCTCTCTCTCTCTCCCTCTGTCTCTGTTTTGTCATTTTCTTTAGAAAGTTTGTCTGATTTCTCATTTGGGTAATTGGGTTTGTGCAAAGATGAAAATGTTGCAACTTGAGAAATGTCACCCAAAAAAAGAAAAAACAATTGTTTTACTTTCGGAATGACGTTATGCGATGTTTGGTTTCCGGGAAAACATAGGAAACGAGAGAAAATAAAAAGAATCTGAATTCACCTATTGGGTTTTAGGGATATGGGAAACTGAAATGTTAGTGTGTTGTAGCATATAGCTGGAGCATGATTTGGGCTTTGCTGGTACTTTTATGAACAATTTCAACACGGTTAAATCTCTTCATCATGATTGACTGATTGTTACAATTGCCTCCTGCAAAAGAAAAATTCAGCTCAGAATTTAAAACATTTTCTTACACCATTAACTCGAAGCAACTCAGTTCAGAAATTAGAACTCAAGGCCCAAAGGCCAACGGGAATTCCTCATCTTGGCTTCAACTATTGAGTATTTTTTGGTAGTGGAAGTTGGACTCTCATGTAATTGTCATTCTCATTTTGTCCTTTAGAATCACATCTCTGTGTGTAGAGAGAGAGAATGGAACCACCATCTCCAGACCGCAACGGTGCAGAAGCGGTACTAAATCTCCAACCGAGCTCATCAATTCCTATTACGTATCACCCTCTCTTTGGTCCTCACGATGATCTAATCCTCCTTGAGCTCGATCAGAAACTTCTCCCTGATGTCCTGCACCAAAGGTGAGGAATAACTTAACTCTAGTTTCTAGAGTCTTATTTCCAATTTTTTCTCGCGCATTGAATCTAGTTTAAGGCTTCCTCTTGTTTTTTTTTTTGTTTTTTCTTTCTCTAGAGTAACTGTTAGAGGACAGCCTGATGAAGATGCGGTCCTCTGCACGGAGTCAAAAACTTATGCAATCAAATCCGTTGGAACTTCAAATTCTGTTTTTCTCATTCCCCCATCAGGTCAATTTAATTCTTTTGAAAGCCCATTATGTTGTGATGAGAATTATCATGATCCGCAATCTGTTGCTTCTGTCATTAAGATTGCAACTGGTAACATGGAACTTGTTGAAGTTGCCCCCAGACTTGACAAGCTAAGGTCGCTACTTTTTGAGAATCCTTACAGATCTGAGGAGGACGTAGAAATGGTGGACTTGGAGGAGATGGAAGGAAAGAATACAGGACTGTATAGCTGGGATGATCTTATTGAGAAGGTTCAAGCTAGTGATGATGAATTAAGGACTGGGTTGCAGGCTCTTTCGGCAGTGGAGATTTATGGATATTGGAGAATTGTGGATGAGAAGTACATGGACAGAATTCTTAGGATGCTTTTGCACAATTCAGTGCTGAATGACTGGTCATTGTCTTGTCTTGATGAAGACGACGTTGTCAATGTGTTGGAATCAGATGGCTTTCCCCGCAAACTTGCAAACCACTGCTTGCATGTTTATGGTAGCAAGGTGGTTGAGGGTGTGAGCACAAGTAGTATATGGAAGTTGGATGAGAGGAAGGTATGTGTGCATTTTGCAAGAGACATCTTGAGAGACGGGAATAGGAAGATGGAGAGGTTCATGGAGGACTGGACGCGCAAGGTTCCCGAAGGGATGCCAGCAAGTTTAGACATGTTGGAAGGTGAAGTTTTGATAGAGAAGCTTGGCGCAGAGACATGGATTCGAGCCTTCAGCGTATCATCTCTACCCTACAACCCTGCAGAGCGATTCTCCGTCCTCTTTAAAGAGCGTCCAAAATGGGAGTGGAAGGATCTACAGCCCTATATCAGGTTAGTTTATATATTCTTGTGATCATCCTTTTTATTTTTCTCCTGTCCTGCATTATTGTTTCTTAGATTTTACTCAAAAGTAATATACTTCTTCCTTGTGTGCATCTACTTCTCAGGGACTTGAGAGTGCCGGGTCTTTCTGCCGAAGGTTTGCTTCTCAAATACACTAGAAGAACACAACCAACTGCTGATGCAGAACCCGTTTTCAGCATAAGATAGTGTTAAAATATATGTTAATTGTCATCCGCATAATTTTATTCCATGTGTCCTAATCAAAAGATTACATGATTTTGCTAAGAAACTGATATAATATCTTCAGATGCATCCTTTATTTTCTTTTCATCTTTGGCATAAGAGAAAACCTGAGCAAGCTGGCATTGCAGTAACTAACTGGCCACTTAGCACAACTCATTAACACAAATTGCCACCTCTGCTTGTGTTTTGGTTTATTCTCATTAGATTTTACAACTTTCATTGATTTCATATTTCTCTTTATCCCATGAGTGAACGTTAATAGAAATGTCAATTAAATTGAAATCTATTGAAGTTGATGTAAGCATTATTACTACAAAAATAAAAATAAAAATTGCAGGTGTCCAAAGTTCATTATAGACGAACTAAACTGAACCAAATCGAAAAATTAATTTTTGGGTTGGATCACTTTGGTTCTCGATTTTTTGTAAGTCCTATACAAGAATCCATCATATACAACCTAGGATTCTAACTTGCAACAATAATCGGAAAAATTGAGCTCCAATCATGCTTCTCTTTTGCCCGTTTGAAAAATACAGGTTCACCCCCTAGTGTTTGATTTTTTGTTATGCAATTTAGTTCGATTTTCGATTTTAGAGATAAAACAAGCTGACTCGGACTATGCCCAACCGTAATGTTTAATAAGTGGCTTATTTGTTGATTTGCCTCTTATGTTTTGCGTTAAATCTCACTTCCCTCTAATTTACAATTGACTCAATGTGGCCCCTAGGCTTTTGTTGCGTGTCCCATGTTCCCGTATTTCGTCAATTCAGTTAGTTGCACATTGACAGAAGAACCTGAACCTGAACACAGAACAAAAGTATAGGGGCACGTTGAGCAGTTGCAAACTCAGGGGAGAAAGTGAGATTTAGTGCAGAGCAGAGGGGCAAAATGTCCTTAATAAATTTGGGGAGCTTCTACAATGAGGAGCTTAGGGTGAGTAGCTTATTTGAGGGGTTCAATCCCACCATCAAATCATTTAAAATGTTTAAGTTCATTGATTTTCTCACATTTGTTGATAGTTGGATTAAATCCCTCAAATAAGCTCCTCATTATAGCCTTTTCGATGTGATGGACATAAATTACAGGCTCTAACATTGGGCCATTGAGCCGGGTCAGTTCATCTTCACCCGTAAGCCCAACTCCGCCCATTTTTAATTTTTCTTTTTGGAGCCGTATGCTTCATTTGGGCGGGAAAATCACAAATCAGCTTATAAGCACCGAAACCCCCAAATTCCAATCTCTCTCTCCCTCAATTTGAACCAGCACACCAGAAACTGGAAGCTACCACACCATTACTCTAATGCCTCCAAGAAAGAAACCCCTTTCTTCTTCCACGACGTCTGCTAAGAAATCCAACTTGAAAGTTCAGCCTCAGCCGTCCAAGTTCGGCATCCAGCATTTCTTCGAGCGCCACACCCAGAACTCTCAGAACCCCAAAATCGCCTTAGTTTCTGCTCCTCAGCAGAACCCTAAACCCGCCGCTCGCGCCTCTTCCACCGTTGCTCCGGCACAATCGGTTCCGGAGATCCAAAACCCTGCGCAGATTGATACGAGTAATGCGGTTTTGGCTTCGGGAAGTCATGAGATTCGGTCGAATTTGCTGTCAAGTAGTAACAACAGTATGTCGCAGAATACGCCTCCAGAGAATTTGAGGGCGGTCGGAGTTGTTGGTGAGGAGGAGAATATGGAAGATGAGGCCTCGCCGGAGATTTCAAAGTCCAAGTCTTTTAAGCGCTTCAAGTTCTCGCCAGGAATGGTAAAATTTTAGCTTCAACGTTTTATGATATAGTTTTCATATTCCATAGCTTTATGCTACCATTGATGGAAATGCTTGAGTTTTACTGATAGTATTACGGGAATTAGCCTCAATTTGTTGTTTGCTTTACGTGTGAACGCTTAATCAATGCTAATTTTATGATATTTATATGCGTGGGAAGACATTTGGTGTTTTAATTGCAACGAACTTTTCTTTCCTTTTATAATTTGATTTTGGGAATGTCAACATGGTGATAGTTGATAAAGCAGAGCCAGGATGATGGAGGTGATGAGGTGACATGGAGGATATCTCCGGTAAATGAAAGACTCCAAGCTGTTTCAAAGCGCATGCCGGAGATTATTAGAGTGCTGGCGGACTCTTCAAGGCTTAAATCTTTAACCATTAACCAATGCTCGCAAAATAAGGCATGTTTATTTGTTAATTTCTTTTTCTTTTAATGGTTTTATTATCAGATGATTAACCAATGATGAAATGTACAGACTTCTCCGGTTAAAGCTGGAAAGGTTGAGAAGTGGCTTCCTTCAAAGACACTGAATACTTCTGAAAGATCTTTGGTATCCCTGAATAAGGTTGGCGTAAAGAGGGTTAACCCAGATCAGGATATGGATAGTAACGGAAATGTGAGCGATATGACTATCTCTGGAAGAGCTAGTAGGCAGAGTCCATTCCGAACACCACCTTCTCTATCGTACTGCCATGATAAGGTAATTATGACTTCACAGTGAACATATTTTATTATTTATGGCTTTGTTTGTACTTTGCAATTCATGGAAATGGAGAAAGCGAGAAACGGAACATTCTCTTAGACTGGTGTTTGATTAGGACCCAAGAGAAAACAAACAAAAAGAACAGAAAAAACTATATCTTCTGCATCTGATACTTTGTTTTGTTTGCATCAGTCATGTTCTAAATTAATTTTCCTCTGTTCTTTATTTGATTCAAAATATATCTATACTATTTCTATGACTATATCCCTTTTCTGTCTTTGGAGCTGCTAAGTAGAGGTCGTGGAATGATCTTTCTCTAATTGTGCTTTAACTGAAATGCAGCTTACGAATGGTGTTGCATGTAATGAAGGTTCTGATCAGCCGGGGTTTAGGCAGCATAAAAAGGTTTGAATGTAAAAATTATCTATTTGAGACCAAATTCTGGACCATGTTGCTCGCAGATCAATCAATATTTATGATATATATTCTTTCTCCTGATTTAATTAATAGATTTTCTCATGAGTCATACTTCAAAAAACAATTAATCAGTTATTTTTCAAAGTTGCAAGTCTGCCTGGTTTTTCTGAGCTGTGTGGCAGGCATGAGTCAATTATATCTTCTCATGGTCTGGTGCAAATTTAATTTTTTCTCTTTGGTTTTTGACTATTCTTTTAGGCATTGCTTGAACTGTTAGATCAAGTGGAAGATGTTATTTCTGTCGAAGATTCAGTATCTAATAATGTGGAGGAATCTCCATTTCATGTTAAAGATAGAAAAGGTGATGATATGCATGTCAAATTGCATCGGAAATCTTCCTATTGTAATTTCCTTGTATTGGAGGTATGGTTTACCACTTTAGCATCTCTTTGATGAAAGAACAGAGAGTTTCTTCAAGATTGGTTATCCTGCAACTTTTTTGTTTTTTCTGCTACAGGTATCTGACTGTGGACTTGCTGACTCATCTGATGCTCATAAGGTTTCTAGTAAGCAAAATCTTCAAATTTGAAAAATTTGTTCTATGATTACTTATGATAATAAAGATGTCCCATCGATTTTAAGGTTCTTCGGTTACTGGATGAGCAATGTGGAGAGGAGCATGCTGTCTATTTACAGGATGAGTGGTAAGTAGTTCATGATGTCTTGTTTCGAAGCAGTTTAATACTCATGCTATTGTTTCTTCTGAAATCATTTCCCAATAATGTGGTTCTCTGTCTTATGAGTATTCTTCAGAGTTTGATTATTTCACCCCAAAATAGAAATGCGCTTTCTGTGTGATTTCAGCTTGATCCAACCTGATAGGGAACTTTTTCTAGTATTAGCATATACCTTGAAAGGCTTTTCATGGTTTCATTGGCCTCATCTCCATAGTTATCCACTTTAGGTAATAATGCTCGAGCATACTTAAGTGTAAGTGTGGTGTATTGGCTGTAATTTGGGTTTACAATTTCTGAAGTTGGGCTAGGGGATGAGTCATCTTTACGGGCATCAGTTTCCCCTGTCTTTAGAGACATTCCTTTTAATATTCTTCATTTTGGATTGTGGACAATCTCTTGTCAACAGCTAAGAACATTTTTCTGTAACTTTAGAATTTTAGCATAAGGTCTTTGTTTTGTAAATTTTAAGTATCTCAAAGTTTTGCACATTCGGATAAAAATGAATGCTCTTGGTAGGAAACAAGACTAGTACAGTAGAATTCAAATCATGTGTTCAAAATATGATTAGTAACAATGTCACTCTTCTTTTCAATTCTATTTTTCTCAGGTTTTACAGTGTCATTGCACCTGGAGATACTGTCAATGTTATTGGTGAATTTGATGACAAAGGACAGTGTCATGTGGATCATCACCATAATTTTATAATTGTTCATCCAGATGTGCTAGTGGCTGGAACTAGGGTACTACGGCCTGCTTGTTCAAATATTCTGGACATGTATTTTGTGAGTATTGTTGCCCTATTTAGTTATAATAAATAGAAACACTTTTAGGTTGCAGCTAGCTTCAGTTGCCCGAGGCGAACTGTCCTGGATGAGAGGCTAAAAGGCAATGAGCATTCAAGTGCAGCACTAAGTGGTACAATATTGCACCAAGTTTTTCAGGTCTGAGAACCACCCTATGATTTTGTAAACTTTTTAATATATACAGGCTTGGTTATGTATTTTTTTCCATGAAATATCCACTAAGCTTTGTTCATCTATAATGTGTAAAAGTTCTTTGTTTTTGTAGGCTGCGCTTGTGGAGGAGACACCTACAATAAATTTCTTGGAGGAACACACAAGATTTGTGCTCCAGAAAAACATTGAGAACTTGTATGCTTGTGGAGGTTGGAATTTTTAAGATGTTACTTTGAAATAATTTCTAATTTCTCTGTCATCATCATTCAGGTTAATTTCTATATTTGTGGTAGATTGTTATCCTCTTGAATTGGCTTGTTAGTAATTTTTTAAAATTTGATTAGTCAATTTTATGGATCATCTTATTAAAACTTCTCCTCTTTCATGTGGACTTTTCAGTGAACGAAAAGGGCATGTACAAAACGTTGATTGAGGCTGTCCCAAGAATATTGAAATGGGTTAACCTATTCAAAAACACCCAGGTACACCCATTTTATTTATTTATTTATTTTCTGTGTCCACAATTAAGGTGAAGAATTTTTTTAAATTGCACATCTTAAAGCAACAGTAGAGTTTAGAGACTCTTAATCTGAGACTAATGATATTGTGGCAGAATTCAGAAGTTCCTTCTGTTGATTTTGGATCTGACAATGGGATAAAAAAGGTCAAATTATCTGAGGTAAGGCATCACAGTTGGTATATTTGTAGGTAATTCGTTGGACTATCCTTTAACAATTTTGCATCTGTGGATATGTTTCCACATATATTCAACTTTATGGATCATGTACATGGAATTCATGCAACTTACCCACTTATTCGGCAGCATGCATGAGTTAGGTACCTTCCTAAGTTTGAGAATTGACAGGTTTTCCTAATACTGGATATATTCACCTTGCATGTATATGCATCCATATGCTAATTGACTTTATAATGGTTTCTTGTACTTGTATTTGCCAGTCGAAGGAATTCCTGGTTGTGCGAAGTTTGCACTTGTAAACATGTTTCTAATTTGTGATTGTTGTATGTTTTCTTGTGTTATTGTATAATGATGTGCACTCTTTTCAGAAGCATTATGCCATCTCTGAACTAGATCCATTTTCTGTAGGTAATTGATATTGAGGAGATGGCCTGGGCTCCGAAATATGGTCTGAAAGGCATGATTGATGCTTCTGTCAGAGTGAAAGTTGAATCTAACAAAAATGAATCTCATGAGATGGTTATGCCTTTAGAGTTCAAAAGTGGGAAAATACCTAATGGCCAGGCAAGAATAATCTCTTCACTAGTTTACTGAAACTTGTCTAAAATGATATTAAACTTGTGTAATGTATTCCATACTATTAACTTATGTTGCTTAAAGCTTTTCATACAGCTGTATACATATGTACAGCACTCAAGGGCTAACCAATTAGTAATTTAATATAGCGCCAACCACTTGTTGGACCCATTCCACAATTTATGGTATGATCCAAACTGTTCATTGTTTATATTTAAAAATCGTTAGTTACCTAACTATGATAAAATAAATAGATGAATCCAATATTTTGATAAACAATGAAAATATTCATGGTAAGAATCAAATGGCTTAATGATTTCCGATTTGGGAAATTATGTAGGGATGATCCTTGAATGAGGACCTAAAAATTGAAAGGTCCGGATTCTAGGATTACAGAATGGAGTGAGCCCAAATGAGTGGTTAGCACTGTATTAACTTATTATTTAGTGCTTGAATGCTCTTGTATATAAACATATATTTCTTTATTTTGGCTCATGCTTGTGATGTATGCAGTCATCCATGGAGCATACTGCGCAAGTGACATTGTACACTCTTCTTATGTCGGACAGGTTCTTATTCACACAATTTTGATTTCCAGAGGGCCCTGGCTCCTTGTACAAGTTATTATCATTCATAAAGATTTTCATTCATTTGCTCTGTATCTCTTGTCTTCAGGTACCAGAAGCATATTGATACTGGTCTTCTATGTTATCTCCAGTCAGATCAGACACAGGTAGTGTCAAGTGCACATGCATCATGTATTTCTCTTTAGGTTTTTAGGGCGTATCGATGGAAAAGAGATTGCACTTGTTGAATTAATTGATTATTTTTTAATAAAATAAAACAGGGAGTTGCGGTTAGAAGATCTGACTTGGTCGGGATAATCATGCGACGTAATGAACTTGCAAATGATATCCTCAAGGCATCACGAACACAAGTACTTCCCCCAATGCTAAAGGTATGGCGGTTGCTGAAAGATCAGCAGTGTTTTCATGAAGCTCTTTGCTGACTGTCGTTTCGGTTCTTCCATTTTTTTCTTTTCCTGCTGTAGAGTCAGAGCATGTGCAGAGGTTGTCGCCATCTAAATGTTTGTACCATCTATCACAAGGTAATTCTATTTATTCGTGAAGGTACTGTCGAGCATGAATAATCGTTGCTAACAGTGCAAAAAAAAAGTGTTTATCATTGGCCATCACCTTTAATGCCACAGGCACATGGAGGAAGCTCAGGGAGCAGTGGATTGGGAGACTTATTTGATTCAAATACTCATCACCTAACAAATGCTCATGCTGCTTTCCTAAGGCTGTGGGATTGGTTGATTGATTTGGAAGCTAAAGAGATGCAGGTGCCAATTTTGAAGTCACTATTTTGATAGTGTAAAAATGGTTAACTTCCAAATTTTTCTATTTGATATGCTAGCACCTTTTTCCCTTCTTCAGCTTGTAAAGAATGAAATATGGCGGTCACATAATTTGAAGAGTGATTATGCCGCGGGTTGCCTTTCTTTTGTTGTTCTTGATTGGAAGCTTCCATATTCGAAGTCTGAAAAAGATAACAGATTCGTGTATCATTTTCTGCGTAATGGTTTGCCTTCTCTCAGCGAGAGGACATCTAAGGGAGATTTTTTGAATGCTACTTCATCTCCAACAAAAGAGGTGGATTGCGCACTAAGATGTGGTGACTTTGTGGTATGCTTTCTTTTCATAATGTTGTTTCTGCATAGTTCAGATGAGGCTAGTTGTACAAGTTTGACAGAGTGCTTACAATAGGTGTGCACTCTTTGCACTCAAGGTTGTTTATGTAGAGTTGTCTGAACTATAAAAGAACATGTAATGTTTATTATTCATTTTCAAGAATCTTTTGCTTTCACTGTCATCTTGTATTTTCACCCTATTACATATTTTGATGCATGCCAGTTTATTGCTGTATGGAGTTAGATATGTAAGATGATTTCCTTTTCATTAAGATCTTCAGATTTTTAGTTAAGATGTCCAGGGCAAGTATCTATGAAGCATGATTTCTGTTCTCTGATCAGCTATTCATATCTGTCTCAAATCAGTATTTGGATAATATTGTAATAATACTTGTTGGACAATCTTGGGGTATATATATTTAATATTTAGTAAATGCATAAACACTTTGACAATAAAATTTGGAACTATAAAAATTGATCTGATACTTTTTTTTTTTGGGTTGAGAAGAAGGAAATGTATATGATACTACTTGCCTGCAATTTTCTTGATTACATTTATGCCTTTTCAAGTTATTTTTCTTTCTTTCTTGGATGGGGTTTCTTGTTCTGCATAATAATATTGCAAGACTTGTTTGGCTTTCCTGTCATTCCCTAAGAACTCAATCATGTAAAATAAACCAATTAATTAAATATAATAATTCTTTTTTTTTTTCAAAAGAAACTATATTAAATAATCTGTAATGATCAAGGATTCCAAGAAGTGGCAGTTGGCCTGTGCATGCGTGCATGCTTGTTCTATGCAAGATAGTTGTTACAACTCCAATTCTGTTCTCTCCTGTTTTCATGTTAATGCATGAGAATTAAAGAACATGACACAATTTTTCACATATGTTATATATTGGGAAATTTGCTATTACATAATGCGTAGTTGTTCGTATCTAGCTTCACTAACAATTTAAAACTTATTGGTTTTTTGTTTATTGTGTAGATACTTAGCAGTGAATCTAGTCATCTACCTGTTGCAAGTGGGATTATAACGGATATAAGTCACTCCCATGTATCTGTAAGGATAATATCTGCCATCTTTCTGTAAACTCAAAATCTGGCTTATTAGTGCTTACCTGCCCTTTTGGCAGATGTATGTACTATAGCTAGTGGATGTTATAGTGTTAATCAACAAATGAATCAGTTTTATAATTCTAATATCTTCTGCAAAACTCTAGGTTTCTTTCTCTAAGCTCTTACGACTTCCTGGGAGCAGTAGTTCTTCAGAGGCAAGTCATCTCCTTCAGGAGATCTGGCGGGTTGACAAAGATGAATTCATGACATCATTTTCAGTAATGAGGTATTGCATGACTATAATTATGCCCCAACTCTTTTGTGAAATTTCCTTTTCCAAACTATCTGTCATAATATAGATGTCATGTACCCTGTCTAAATTCATGCTTGATTTTGTTGCTAGGTTGAACCTTGTTCAACTTTTTCTTCAAAGTGCACAAGCTGCTCACGTGAGAAAAATGATTGTTGACTTAGAGGTGAGGTTGGGTGACTTGTATTGCATAAAATTTACCGTCTTTTTGCTAACTCCAACTCACATTTCTGTTGGTCTGCATCTGTGCATTCCTTTTAGGCTCCTAGATTTGACAAGGGACGTATATTGAGCCAGGATCCAGCAATATCTTATGTCTTGTCCCAGAGAAATTTAAATGTTGATCAGCGGCAAGCCATTCTTAAGGTTTCCTATAATTTTTTTATTTTCCTAATACTCATCATCTTGATTTTCCCTCAAAAAGTCTGTCTTCCTGAGCCTAAGTTTGGTTGGTACTAATATGTCAATATCCATTGCATGTGGACATTCACTAATTCAACAAATTTATCCAGATACTTGCAGCAAAGGATTATGCACTTATACTAGGAATGCCTGGAACAGGCAAGACATCTACGATGGTGCATGCTGTGAAAGCCTTGTTGATTAGAGGTGCATCCATTTTGCTTACGTCCTACACAAACTCTGCTGTTGATAATCTACTTGTCAAATTAAAGGCTCAGGTCATCTCTATTTCACATCTTTTCATAAGCATATTTGTTTTTGTTTTCTTTGTTTTTTGTTTTTTGGGCTGGGTTGGGGTGCTTTCTTTTCATGCCATGCATTATGTCCAGGAAACGCACGCTGCCCTGAAACCAAATTTCTTGTTGCTATTTACTCCAATTTTCTTTACCATTCGTTCTAACCTGAGGCCATTCTTACTCACGTAGCACTATTGGGCATGATACTAATCTTAGTTGATGGTTCTTTTTGTACTCTCCTTAAATTTATGGCTGTGTGGTTTACCCGTTTCTGTGCCATATCTCGCGTCTAACACTACATTGGGTTTCTTTCCATTGAATTTAAAGCATTGCAGAATATAGATTTTTTACGCATTGGAAGACATGAAGCTGTGCGTGAGGAAGTTCGAGGGCATTGCTTTTCAGGTCAGGTTTTATATAATAGAGAGCATTTTCTCAATAAATCTCTTGATTTCTTCTCAATGTTTTAACAGTGGTTTCCGTGACAGAAATGAACATACAAAGTGTGGAAGACATTAAATTAAGACTAGACCAAGTCAAGGTGGTAGCTGTTACATGCTTGGGGATCACCAGTCCCTTGCTTGCCAATAAGAGATTTGATGTATGCATCATGGATGAAGCTGGACAAACCACCCTTCCAGTACGTATATACTTAGTGATGGATGTCTAGACAGTGCAGTTATAGATAAATGCAACTGGAGTAGGATTTATATGGAGAGATGAGATGCTTTTGGACAGTGCACTTTCCCAAAAGCTTATATCAGCTGAGGATTATTTTCCTGTTGTTAACACTTCAGACTTTATGTTAGTATTTATCTTGTTGACAATAAAGATTTTAAAAAATTTCATCTCAGCTTGTTTTTCATGTTACATTAGTTGGAGACGGGCTTCAATGGGTTGAGTTTATTCAATGTTTCTTTTTAGGATTTATTTTAGTCTAGATGAAAGTTAAAGTCACTGTTTATCAAGAACCATCTCAAAGTTAAGGGATTCATGAGAAATTTTCTTTCCTCTCAGGTATCTCTTGGGCCTTTGATGTTTGCATCAAAGTTTGTTCTGGTTGGCGATCATTATCAATTACCTCCTCTGGTCAAGGTGTATATCTTTGTGTGTGTTTGTGGGGTTCTAATTAGTTGTTATGCTCTTAATTTTGTTCAATGAAATGCTCTATGCTTTTTTCTTTTTTTTTTTCTAGAGTACAGAGGCTCGAGAAAATGGAATGGGGGTAAGCTTGTTTTGCAGGCTCTCAGAAGCGCATCCTCAGGCAATCTCAGCCTTGCAAAGCCAGGTTATTATACATTTACAATTAAAGATATACAATTTTAATTTTTGTATCACTTTCTGTAGCAGTGATACTTACCAAGCTGTTTGCATCCAGTACCGTATGTGTCAAGGCATTATGGAACTGTCAAATGCCTTGATATATGGCGATAGATTGCGCTGTGGCTCTCCTGAAATAGCTAATGCCAAACTCAACTTTTCAAGTTCAAAGTCTCGTTCGTCGTGGATACAGGAGGTTTGATTGATTTGCAAAGCAATTCCATATTCCTATTGAATTAAGTTGTCATGTCTATACATGGTGTGTGCTTGCATGAAAAATTATACCTGGAACCTTGTTTGGCCCATTGATATGGGGTAGTAGTAGTATAGGATATGGATATCAGAATCTTTTGACACAGCTTGTACATCTTTCCTCTGCTTCTATGTTTCAGATACATCCTTCCAGGTTTTCTACCATATCGTGTTGTGGGCATGGAAAACTAATGAAATATCATGCCGAAGAATTATGACATGATGTTGATTACAACCTTTTAGCATGTTTTAATCCTAGATTGTGCTTAGGGACTGTGCTTAGGGAATTCATTAAGGTGTGATTTTGAAATGGATTAGGTTCAAGCCTATCGGTTAGATGAGAAATATCACTTGAAGAGGTTTAATAGTGGTATCTGTTTATTTTGTAGAGCAAAGTGTGTCTTGTCATCCACAACCTTCAGGTTGTGTGAAATAGAAGGGATTAGTTTTAAGTGAATGCATTAGATACTCTGCCCTAATTGAAAAACTCGTTCTATGAAATTGTTGTTTTGGTTTGAAAACTGAATGCAGTTTTCATGTGTGAAAAACTCATTTAATTCAAATGTTTTAGCAATTTCTTATCTTCATGGTTGCAGGTGTTAAATCCAACCAAACCAGTTATATTTATTAATACAGGTTTGTGGAAGTACTCTTGTTTGCTTTCCATAATCCTTTCCACTGAATAAACAAACAGTATTGGTTTGTACCTTGGTTTTTCTAATCTTCATCCCTTTTCACAACATAGATGCTTTACCTGCTTTTGAGGCAAAGGATCACAAGATTGTGAATAACCCGATGGAAGCTCACATAATTGTACAGGTTTGATCTTTGCTTGAATATATAATGCAAATAATGCTCGTTGCTTTAGGAAAATATGTTTGTTCCTTTTAAGTTGTGTGAGGCAAACCGTTTAAGTAGATTGTACTGAAATAAAATCCTCATGTTGCTTATAGGTTGTGGAGGAACTAGTTAACAGTGGAATTAAGGAGGAAGATATTGGCGTCATCACCCCATATAACTCTCAGGCAGAGATTATCCGGCTTTCCATAAATCATACCTCTGTGGAGATACATACCATTGACAAATACCAGGTCAGGTTGACAGGTTCATGTCTACAATGATGTCTTACTGCTTTCTTCTAAGTTTGTTTAAATTCACAGAACTTCTATGAAATAATAATACATATTGGTGTAATCTGTACAGGAAGTGTTGTAGCTTTTAATAAAGCTGCAAAGTTTAAGAGCCTATTCAATATCCTAGTAATTTTGCTCTAGCTTTTGGTTTTGAAACCAAAAGAACAATGACATAACTATAAAATTTCGATTATCATCAGTCCATTATCTCTTATTTGCAATTTTGGTTTATCCAGGGAAGAGATAAGGATTGCATACTAGTGTCTTTTGTTAGGTCAACGGAAAATCCAAGGAATTGCTCTTCTTCACTGCTTGGAGACTGGCATAGGATTAATGTGGCTCTTACTCGTGCCAAGGTAAGAATCACATTGGTGGTCTGGTTCGATTAGAAAATCCCATTCCAACGTAAATTTCAAAATATCTTGCACATGGTGGTTGCATTTTTAGTATATCTTCTTTTCTGTGCTTGATGATTTATCATGAAAGTAAACTATGAGATTAAAGAGAACAAAAGAGGAAAGAGTTAAGCATCCTCAGTTTTTTTGTTTGTGTTGTTTATGGGGATAGAGAGCATCCTCAGTTCTTAAATTTAAGAGAAAGGGGTGTCTGAAGCTGTCATCTATGTTTTTTTGGAGTGATCTCAGTAACATGTTTTCTATTATTTGTTTTGTAGAAAAAGTTAATAATGGTTGGATCATGCAAAACCCTATCAAAGGTTCTGCTAATGAAGCTTCTTATTGAGAAAGTTGACCAACAATCCGGCATCCTAAATGTATCCAAGAAGGATATCAACTTTAAAGGAGACCTAAGGAGATGCTCTCAGGCCAGATGAATGTAAATTTTCGATCTTGTCCAGTTTTTGTTAGTGTACATATGTTGGTTATTTCTGCAGAATATTTGAAAAATGTATAGAAAGAACACTCTCTCTCTCTCTCTCTCTCTCACACACACACACACACACACACACACACGGATCGCCTGGGCGGGGCGGGAAGACATGCCTTTTGTCAGTCCTTACGCTTTCACGACATGAAGATTAATTTGAGTGCATATTTAGTGCAAATGTGACATGCGACTATTTTCAAGAGAAACCACTTATATTCTTGAATTTTATCTCCCATCTAGCATTGGCTTTAAACTTAGCGAATGGGTCACTCTCTGAACTGTAAACTATCAAACCAACCAGTTATGAGTTTATTTTCACCCAATGGACGGGAAAGTAATGGTGGCAATCACCCTTCCCCTTGAGGAGATCTCTCTCCCCAAGTCGAAATATGTACAATTTTGCACAGTTAATTGACACCTCGTGAAGCTGGGTTTCGGTCTCATTTGATTTAGTGTGATGCTCCCAATGAACAATTCACACAAGATTTTTTTTTGGTTCTTGTTTTATAGGAAGCAAAATTTTATTAAAAGAAATACATTAGTACAACCAGAATTTTACAGTACTGCAGAGGGCAGGGTGTCTTTTTATCTGACGACCAAACCTAACAGGTACACATTAAAGCATGTAAACTGCAATACAATAACCAGCCTTCATTCTAGGTTATGGCGAACCCCCACACGCAGGGGAGGAAAAAAACAAAAACAAACAATAGTAATTCTCTAAATTGTATAGAAACTGAAACCTGCAAGGAAGACCACAAACGAACTTTATCCCACAATGTCTCCATCCCCTCTTCCCTAAGAATCCTGCCATCTCTTTCCAGCATCGCATGTAAACGATCATGTCAAATCTCATTTTCTGTTTCTAGTCACTTAAATTACAGATATCCCTCAAGCACAACATTCTCACTTGAAACCTTAGGCTTCAAATTCTTCACTTCTAGTCTTTTTCTTAGACTCTTCAATGCAATAGGAAAGTTCCCACCATCATTTGCATCCCACAGGGGCAATACTTCTATAACGATTTTTTGCAACAAATTCTTCTCAATACCGTCTTGGAGAAGCTCTTCGAAATCACCTATATTTCCCCTTAAATCTAACAAAACGCTACACAATCCTCGAGAGTTACAAAATTCCAAAATAGCTTCTAAATTTATCCGATCCAACACCACCGTTTCAATACCTGTTTGAGCTCTTTCTAGTTCTACTGTTGTCTCTTTGTCTGAAAAGATTATTAGCTTACCAATTGGTTCAATGGTCAGAGCAGGGATTTGGATTGGAGAACTGCTATTCCTAGCTATTATAATCTGGACTGGTTGATTGGCTCCAGCTTCTTGGGATACTGGAATAGAGACGTTCTCGATTATTGAGGAAGAAGAAAGAATAATTGCATCATATTCCTGTAACAATTGTGAGTAGTAACCACCAGACTTAGCAACTCCTTCTCCAAGCTGATCTAGAAAGTGTCCGTTGACTGATATAGAGTATCTGCTAATGAGAAAAAAGGCTTAAATATGATAATGGTAAACTTCAGAGTACCAGCAAATGAACAGAAAATTCTTTAGGTAACAAATGACTAGCAAATTCTAAAGAAAAGATAGCATAACATCCATTCATGAACTATCAAATCTCAACAGTCAAAGACATAAGGCATGATTTCCACTTATTTTAATGTTCAATGATGGTATTTTTACTATTGACTAATCC